TTTACAAGCCTGTACTTTGTTACTTTTACTTGAGTAAAGAAGTTTAATCAGTACTTCCACTTTTACCAGAGTATTTTTTAACACAAGTTTCTGTAATTTTACTCAAGTACGGAAGGTGAGTACTTTTGCCATCTCTGTTGTTGAGTACCCAGCTGATTTTTCATGCTGTCTCAAAAGGAATGAAAGATTTTGTCCAAGCACTAAGATCACTTAGCTGATTACTCCTTCCTGTGTTTCCAAAAAAGCAATGGCGAAAGTAAATAACCCAGTCCTTCTGTAGACAAGCCATGATCTGCTTCTCTGTCCTCTATTTTTCATTTGTATGAAATAATAGCTACATGAATCATGACGGCAGATATGAGAGAGGAGAGCCAAAGTCTCCAGTAGCAGAAAAGAGTTGTTAGATTTGGTGCTAGGACCTTTTTTGAAATAAAAGCTCTAGAGGGGTCTGAAAAGTCTCTAAATATAGCGACAAAAGCACTAAGTTGGCAACACTGCTCTTTGTATAATTTGAGACACAACACTATAAGTGTTCTGATGGCATTTTAGCATAAGGATTTTTATCAAAAACATAACTGATGTGCACAAATAAGGAATAGTTGTATTAACCATACATGTAAACGCAGTTTTAAATATTTTTTTCATTTTCCACAGTGTTAGAGCTGCAAGAGGAGACGTTAGGAATTGCATGTTGCCTGTGAGCTAGAAAGCATCCAAACTGAAGTCCTTCCATCATCGACTGATTGCTATGAAGGATTAACCCTGACATAATAAAGAATAAAAGGAGAAATATATCAAATGTCCCAAATACAAGCTAAAAAATAATTGGGGAAACTAACAAATTATTAAAAGACTATATTGTTGAGTTAATTAGATTTAATTTAACACAGATTATTTAATATAAATTAGAATAAAAAAAATTTTCTGCCTCTTTTTTACAGAAAATAATAAAATTGTTTGTTTTCTTTTTTTTACTTATAGATTCATTTATGTTCCTTCCATTTCTAGCTTTTATTTTATTTTGCCTTGTTTTTTTCCTAGGCTTTTTTTATATATATATATATATAAATGCGTTCTGTTTACCTTTTTCTGCCCCCTACCTCTACTTTACCTCATCAACTTCTGTCTGATTATACAAATAAGGTGCGCTGGTCTTCGCTGGCTCGGTTCACCACTATTGGTCAAGCTAACAGCTTTACTGGCTGTTAATGTTGTCCTCTTTTCTGAGGGTGGGCCAGAAGGTTTATACAGATGGGGCTTGCAGATTTTACTAAGAACCACAGGAAGTTGAAATTAAGAAGCAAAAAAAAGTAAATTTAATAGATCAGATGTAGTGATTCTGCAAAGCAGGGGTGGCTCCGGAGAAGGGAAAGTGGGGACAACTGCAGTTGAGGCTAGCCCCCCTGTTGTGCCTCAACATTTGAGCCATTAAAATACTTAGAATTATTAGTTTAACTAAAAGCTCCATACAGTGTAAAAATTAAGCATTCATTTATCAAAAAATGCAATGTATATTATAATGTATTTTATATATTATACAAATATAAGAATAAATTGCCTGCCAAGATTACCAACTAGTGCTGCTTGTAG